TGCAGGAGCATGCCAAGAGTAGATCTGATCAGTTGCACTAGCAATTATCTGCTTTACTGAAGGATCCACTATAACTGCAGCATTCACTACCTGTATGGAATTAATCAGAGAAATTTTCCTTGTTTAGATGCTTAATAAAGCTGGTAAGAGCTAAGGGAAACACACCCAAAACAACAAGGCTCGTGAAGCAACTAATGCTTGGTTTCAAGATGTTCTTGAAACTTGACAGCAACCAGTTTCATCACTTTTTTTATATCAGCTTCATTAAGTTTATCAAAATAAATAATCAGCTTGATTTGTTTTATCAAATAAAAGGGTCATCTTGATTACTATATCTAATCCAACTATGGAGTCATCCTTAAATATTTGAAAAACACAAGCAAGACTAAGTCTTTGAGTAGTCAGTTACCAAACTGAAACCTTGAAATTATCATAATAGTGGTAGCGATGCCTTTACCCAACACTAGTTTTTGAAGTAGCACCAACTACATTCTATGACAATGAAAATAAGGAAAAACATGGAATAAGGCAAGGAACAAAAGAACCATTTGAAGAACACAGTAAATCAGAAAATGAAACAGTCAAGAATACTCTAATACTTCAAATATGTTGGAAATGAGCGAAATTAACTGACCAATATTGTGTCCCTCCACCACACCCCAACAACTTAATGTTAATTAATAGGGGAAAAACGAAGTTTTTTTTAAATAAAAAGTGTGAAGTATTGTATTAACAAGGTATCAAAACTGGGGTACCACCCATTTACAAAAAAGTTAAAGTATCAATAACATTTCCAAAATCTACATAACTAATAATGTCATGACCAAACAATATGGTCTCAAAAGAAGGGAGAAAAAAACAAAGTTACCACAACAGAACCAGAACTCGCCAACTCAATAGCAAATCTCATGAAGCTGTAAATTGATTGTGACTCCTCGTTACTAAATCCAGTAATGCCGTCAATATTGCTGTAATTGAGAAAATAATTACACAACAAAACAGACAGTAAGAGTTAACTACTTGAGAACCAGAGCAAAATGCAAAAAGTGTAAAGAAAAATGTATCCCATAGAAGTGAAACAACAATAAAATTGGTGTATTGCTATTTGAGCAAAAAGAAGTCTATAACTTAAGTAGAGAATGGGACTCATCCTAAGTTTAATTCCTACACCTATTTCAACATAGTAGCGGAGCCACCAAAACAAGTAAATTCCCTTCATGAAATAATATCAGAACTAAACAATTCTGGCATAATGCAAAAGGCAGAGTACTGTGCACTATCCTCTTGAGTATCTAAAGCAATCTAGACCTCGAATAAAAGGGCCATCAACAGTGAAAAGGTCAAAAATAGCAATATTACACATATAGGTATAACACACCTTAACAGACTAATAAAACGAAAAAAAAAAAAGAGAAATTACATTTACACGCATCAAATAAGTGGAGGGTATATGTGTGTCCATAGGAAATAGGTCAGAAATAGCAATACCAAGAACAAGTTAACTCCAAGCTAGTTTGGCCTCTCAATATAGCTTTCTTTTGTACAGAGAAACAAGTAAGAAAAGCTTAAGCAAGCAAATGAATCACTGTTGCTGTGCTTACAAGGTCGGTGGATGATATGATGTTGGCCAGAGCTTGCATTGTTCTTCCCACTCTTCTTTTGAGGATGCAGCATACTTGCAGACCTGAAAATGCAATTTGACATCAACTGATTTGACATATCTATTGTTTCATTATCACTTGATATGTCAACATTAAAAGTACAAGGCATATCCATTAAGACTAGACCAATTTAACTATAAACTAAATTGATGCTTAAACCAAGGTTCAATACCACTGGGCAGCTAAACTTAAAAAAAATTAAGAAGTATAAAGATTTTAGCCGGGAATCACAATAACAACATAAAAACTTCCCAGAGATGATGTTACTGCACTATCTAATATTTTATTTGAAAAAAGAAAAAGAAAAACAGATGAACAAATGAGTATAGGAAATTTTCTAGGTGAAATGGATGACCCACTTTCGTGATAAAAGGAGACAACTTGTACGAATCAATTAGCTCTTGTACATCCTGTGGCACTTTGATCAACTGATTCTCATTTTCACAAGCAAGATATAAGATCACTGTTAACTGAATTTTTCCTGTGGAATAAGCAACCGATCATGTAACGCCATATCCAAAGACTAGAATGCGCTCCACATAACATTAGCAATATATAATATTGAGTTTTGCAGGGGAAAAAAGGTACAAACCCCAAGATAGAAGCACACACGAGTAAGAGGTTTATGGTTAGTTCGGAAGCATATCAATCAAACTGAGTACCTAATTAAGAGCATACCTCCTTCAAGATTTTTCTTTTGTATCCTCTTCACATGCCGGAGATCTTCCAGAGGTGCAATCTGATTTAAACGCCTGTTACAAGTTAAAGATTTATCAGATAAAGATCTATACATACACACAACAGATTTCATTTCCATGAAACTATAGTGTTTCATTGCGACAAGAAAATAAAAAAGTCATTCGAACTCAAACTACAACACTATTAACATCCAAAAATTAAAGATAGACGACAATAAGCCGGGAAAAAATACAATAATGGCAACGAAAAAAGAAGAGCAGAAACAAAAGATAAATGACCTTACAAGAACATTGGCAAGCTTCGGCTCGATCATAGCGGCAAAAACATCGACTAAACTCAGTTAAGAAACAAAAAGTACATCAAAAATTACAAGCAAGCAAGAAAATATATGAAACTGAAACCTTAAAAGAGGTTTTGGAGTTCCGGTAAACTGACCAGTAGGCTGTTGATTTGGTGGGACGGGTGGCTTGTCAGGGATGTGAACTATTTGGAAAATTTCCCCATTGTTATTCATGATTTCAATTCTTTCTTTTTGCTGATCGAAAATTTCCACTAGTTTAACACACAGAATTTAGGAAGAAGAAAGTGTTCTTTCTGTAGGAGAGATAAGAAAGAGAATGAAAGCAACGAACAGTACTAACCTTGTTTTGGACCTCGAGCCAGAGATTGGCTGAAATTAGAGGGAGAGATTAGATGACTGTGGAAGGCAGTGCGGCGGGAGATGCAGGGTGGAGGGAGGCGCTCTGCTTGGAAAATAAGCCCAGGTGTATTAGCTCTACCGTTTTTCTCTGTATTCCGTAGCTTTTAGAAGGACAGAAGAAGTTATATATATTATTATTTTAAATTAAAATAAGTTTATACGCTTTTTTATATATGTGTAACTCGATTTTTATTCTTCTTCTCACAGACTGTATATTTTTTAAAAAAAAAATTATAATTATATAAAAAAAAAATAATGAAGATATCATTTTATGTAAACAACAAGTAAAAGTATTTTTAATGTAAATAAACCATTTCAATACTTTTGAAGAGAAATGAATCATTTTTTAAGTTAATTTATCACAAAAATTAAATTAAAAATATAAATATAAATCATATACTATATCTTAATGTTTCGCTAACATATTTTACAAAAGGATAAGTGAATGAATAAAGTGCAAATGGATAAATAAGTGATGTTTATATGATATGGGAGTTTGTTATTAACTAAAAATTTAAATATATAATTATTTATATATTTTAAAAATTATAAGAAATTAATATATATTATATATTTTACAAAAAGCTCAACGGTTCAATCCCTTACAAATCCATCCATCCACCACCAATGGCTAGTTGTGAAATTTTGAGTTACCCATGATGCTTTCCAACTCCCTATTAACTTGAGCTGCTGTTGACGGTCTAAAATGCCATTTCCATGATAATTCTAAACAGACTCCCTGGTGTTAAATTCAATTCTTTACAAAGTTTGGTAATCATGAGTTATATCATTTATTACCAATAAATTTATGGTTAAAGAATAAATCTTGAAAACTATTATAAGCAAAAAAAAAAGCTTGATAACAGCAAATTATGACCCTTCAAAATTATATCTAAAAATCATTGCTGACTTTACTTCACCCTCAAAATTCTGGTTCCGATAAATACATGATGCTTCCAGCACTGTGGGTGAACAAGCCCCGTGAAGAGCTGCCCCAACCACTGATGAAAATACACTACCAGGATAAAATATGGAACAAACAAGCACAACAATTTTCTTCTAGAAAATAAATGGAAATGTCTCTTCAAGCTGGCAAAAACTTGGAAGGGCGAAAGGCTGCTGACGAGTGATAACTGTAGCTTCATTTATCCCACTCTAAATCCAAAGCTCGTGAATCCAACCTCATCGAGTTAATCTCCCTGTGTTTATGTTGTTGATTATTCAACCAGTCCCAGCCCATTATATGAGGCAATGCAAACTGCATAAAGACAAGGTGGACCGAAACAAGATTATGCAAAGGAAAAGTAACCCACAAGGGAAGAAATAAAGAGACATGTAACAGGGCATATGTCAATATCAACATATTCCTAGAGAAAAAAAGAGTCCTAAATGGACCGTATATCCCATAGCTACTGAAAGAATCATAATTTTCTTTCTTTTTTTTTCATGGAAAATGCATTCACATTTTCTCTATTAGAAATCTACTGTGCGATAACTCCTATACTGACACAGATTTACACATTTAGAGAAGACTTGCCTACCAATGCTTCAAAATAGTACCCAACCAGGAGATTTCACACCCACTAGCATTTGTGCATATATGTCAACAAGGTGTTTGAAGAGGATATAGAAATTTGATCATATCAGTCGAAAGGCCGTATTCATCCATGTTTAAAGGGAAAAACCCTGCCTTGCAGAATTTTGGATATCATTCAAAGCATTTTAAGTATGTTAAAAAGGCTGATAGCCAGCTTGCTAAACATAATAAGCGTAGAACAAAAGTAGCGGTGTTGAGTGAAACAGAAGATATTGACAGTGTGGCTCCGAGTAGTGGGATGGTTGCAGGAGGTGATATGACTTTCTCATCAAAAGGGGAGATGTTCAGAATAAACAGGAGTGATTGCTTGATCTTACTAGAGAATCATGAATTCTCATATAATGGAAACAAAAGTTAAAACGCATAGTTATTTATTGTCATACGCTACAAGCTGTCTTCATAACTTGAAATTCAGCACGTTTGAAGAGGATTGTTTGCTTGATCTTAATAGAGAATCATGAATTCTCATACAAAGGAAAGAAAAGTTTAAAACTCATAGTTATTTATTGTCATACGCTGCAAGCTATCTTCATAACTTGAAATTCAGCACATTTGAAGAGGACTGTTTGCTTGATCTTAACAGAGAATCATGAATTCTCATACAAAGGAAAGAAAAGTTAAAACGCATAGTTATTTACTGTCATACGCTGCAAGCTGTCTTCATAACTTGAAATTCAGCACTTGTGACAGGAACAGTTATCCGTTCTGTAGTTTTAAGAATGCTGTTGTTGACACCTGCATAGGGATTGTAAAGATGATTGAATAAAAATCTTTCAAGGATGAACGAGAATACTAACACTAAAACCATTGCTTAAGTAAGTGGTGCAATAAAATCCTACAACACCATAATCACAGGATACTGCTTTTGTAATCTTATAAATAGAAATAGAACGGGAAATGTGAAATTGAATTCATACTATCATTGTCTCAGGGCTCCTAAAAAATTGACTTGTGCATAAATAAATAACTTTTCTCCTCAATAATTTTCTTCCCATGCTGAATAGTTTGATGTTCTGGGATGTCTCCATGCTCAAGAACCTCAATATTTGAAGAAATGCAAGGTGTTGGAAGTTTTTTACAGGTTTTACAAAATCAGACCAATTTTGAAACGCAATGATGGAGGTCAGCGGCTTTCTAGCAGAAATCTGTTCCTGTCAAGTCCTATTGCTGCAGTTAAGTAAACATGGTTCTGGTCCCAAGGAACCTAGCTTACTTCATAGAAGTCATCTAGTCTAAGAATTATTGTTCTTTGCGAAGGGAGATATTAGGTAGGGAAAGTGTAGCTGCCTCTGGAAGCGTTCTAACCCAGGACAGTCTCAAACTGTTGGTAAAAGTTTTGGCCAACAGCTGCTTTCTTCATAGAAATGCCAAGGAAACAGTAAACCAACTCCTCTTATTTTCTCCCAAGACCTTTGATCATTGGAGTTTGCAGTGTCTATTGACTCTCTTCCAAAGCATAATGGACAGTTGGGGATCCCATTGCTGTAGAACTATGGGCTTTCAGAAGGAATGAAGCTGATGAGTATCAGGGACTCATAATTTCTCTGATCCCCTCCTTCAATTTCTAGATCATATGGAGAGAGAGAGAGAGAGAGAGAGAGAGAGAGAGAGAGAGAGAGAGAAACAGAAGCGTATTTGAACTTCAAGTCTTGATTTCAGACTCTTAAGTATATGATTTTCTGGTTGGCTAATTTCTGGTGTTTCAGACCTAGTATGTTGATTGATGATAGAAAATTTGACTCGTAATTAATTTCATGGGCCTTGTGATTGATTCGAGTTTTTTTTTCTTCTCATGGGGGAAAAACGGTAGTAATTCATCTATTCCATCTAAAGTATTTTGAGCTTAAAACAAGAAACCATATTTCTAGATTTCACAGGTTTAACTTCATAAAATCAAGTTCACCCAACAATTTCCAAGTTGCCATCCATTGATGACCCAAAGCTAATACAATTAATTCATGGCGCTCAAGATTTCAGAAACTGAGACGTCAAACCAAAGAAAAGTGAAGATAGAGCACTTACTTAGAGAAATGAAATAGCCACTAGCATCTGCATGAGGCTTAACCGACAAGGTCTTCTTCACCTGACCAGCATTACTGTGGAATAAAATGCATATTATAAGTGCTAAGTAACTTGACAACTAAAGAAGCAAACAACATGTTCAATGAACACTTATTTATTATGCATCACCATTCTTATGGCAGGTAAAGTTGGTCTGGGGCACCAAAAATAAATTCCAGATACTATGCTTGCTTCAAAATAAGCAGAAAGAGAATGAACCTTGACTTCATTGAAGGGTCATGGAAGAACTCAGATGCACCAGTGGGACCAAGGCTTATGAAAGACCCAACCTCTGTTGCTGACAACGCAAATTTCTAAAACATCCACCAATTAAGTCAATAGAGCTTCTTATTAAAATGAGAAAACAATTAATGAATTTACCTGCCTACTTTGCCAATCGTACTTGCGCTCGCCAATGGCAGGAAGGAAAGTTAACATCATGACACCACGGCGATCAACTCTAAGTCCCCCAGACTATATAACATAGAGGAATGAAAACATTATGAACTTGAGAAAGAAATTGACAATTTTTAAGTGCGTAGCACTCAATTATAGCATATGACTAAATGGCCAAGCATACATCTAATTTAGCAAAAGTGGGTAGAACAGGTTCCATAGAGAGTGCAGCTTTGCCCTTGTAAATGCTATAAGGAGCAAATACTCGACCAGCAAAATTTCCTACAGATTCAATTAAAAAAAAGAAAAGAAAAGAAACCAATCATGGTCAAAATTGTGGAGAAAGTAGAAAAAATGGAAAGGAAGCCTTGAAACATGTTTGAAAAACTGTAGCAAGTACCTTTGGCAGTAAAATTTTGTCTAGTAGTTGAGACACCAGCACGGGATGTAAATGCACACAAGTATCTAGCATCTCTTACATCAGGACCATATTCAAGAAATTGTTTATTGGACAACAGATTCCTAACTCAACAGAAAAATATCAAAATATCCAAAATGTATGTGAGTGACTTATTATCATATCTTTGAATGCATAACTTCATAGACTCGTTTTCACTAGGATTGAAGCAGGGCAAAATTTCTTTTGAATGAAAATATATTATAGTTTAAAATAAACTTTAGTGTCCAGGGACCAATACTGTGAACCATAGTATGAGGCAGAACTGAAACTTCAAGTTCAATATCCAGAAGTTATAATTTTTTTCACCTAGTTCAGTTTACAAGTTTCTTAGTAACTTTATTTTCTTTAATTTTCTCTGCTAGAGCCCATCACCATCAAAACTTAAAATGAATTGCAAAATTTCTTCAACCAGCCAACCATTTTCTCCATGAATTTTAAGCCTACTTCAGTTTTTTAAAAAAATAAAAAAATTCTCCATCAAATATTTAGCATAAAGTATCTCTGGCAGCCTTACATTTTCTACATTTCCCTCCCTATATCCTATCAGTTGCCAAACGTAAAACGAAAATATTCCTCTTTCAGAACACAAATTTACTCTTCATTTCTCCATGAATATTCATCTAATTCTCCATTTATGTGATGAGAAAATCACAGCCCAGCATAAAAAAATATAATGATAATAATAAAAAGGAAACGGAAATTAGCACATTTCAAAAATTCACTTTCTTTCGTCTTCCTTAACTACATTTAATCCGCTAGATGAAAAGGAAAAGGTACCATTATCGTGAGTAAACACGAAAATGGAAGGGTTTCTCCAAGGAAAGAGTTACCTGGCGAATGAACAGCGTGATAGCTTCAACATACTTGGGTGGAGATCAGGGTAGAGAGAGAGAGAGAGAGGAAGTGAGCTACGTCAGTGAGGAAGAAGAAGGTGCGTAACGAGACACTAGAAACGATGGTCTCTTTATGTATCAAGTCTGGGATCTTGGTGCACCAAAAACATCGTGCAACAAAGGTGAGATAAGAGAAAAAATATGAGATGGAAAGTCATGTAGAGAAGAAAATGTAAGCCCAGCTCAAGCAAGGTATTGGACCGAAAACCCAATTTCTCGTGCATCTCTCACAACATTCTAAACTCTCCATTCCCCGAGCTCTCTCCAATTTCACAATAAGCTCGGTTGGAGCAGCTTATAGTTACATTGTAAGTGACAGTAGTGTTACTAAAATAGTTATAAAAAATATTTTTAGTATAAATTTGTATTGTATTTTGTGAAAATAACTCTAAAAAATATAAATATTGCGTTTGATGAATTTCACAATAAGTTCGATTGGAGCAGCTTATACTTATATGGTAAGTGATAAAAGGATTATTAAAATAATTATAAAAAATATTTTTAGTATAAATTTGTATTTGGTGAAAATAACTCTAAGAAGTATCCTTACAAAATATAACTTATTGTATATGATAAAATTAAATATACCTATAAAAATAACTAAAATATGTAAAAAAATATTTATTTATTGATAAATAAATATCAATTAGATTTTTTAATTTTACAAAACAATCATTAATTTTTAAAAATAAATGAATCAACTCGTAGTTATTAGAAAAAATTAATACCTACAAATATCAGTACACTTAGATTATAACATCATTTATTTTAATTCATATGAATATTACGTAAATGATATATGATCTCTATATTACTCATATGAACATTGAGTTTAATTCGTCAACTCGTTCAATTAATTTTTTTATTTATGTGAGTAAACATCAACATTAATATAAACTTAAGTCCTATATGCCTGAAAAGTTAACAATATGCATTGCAGTTCCTATAGTTTAATTTTAACTTTTACATTATCATTATTTACTGTAAAACAAATCGCATAATTAAGAGAATTATCAAATGAAAATATCATTGATCATAAGATTCATTTAGAAAAATCGATCTTATCATGAAATAATTATCATTGCTCAAAGAAACTGTCAGATAAACAATAATATCATGAACACTTCATGTATTTTATGCTATAAACGAATTTTAAGGGAAAGTATTTCGATAAACAATACAATAAAGTATTGGGAGATGATAAAAATATGAGGTCGATAGTGGCAAGATGGATAATACTAGTGTATCATCCACATATGTAATAAAAAAACGTATTTAATTTTGTATACTATATGAGTGCTATATTATTATCATATCACTATTTCATTAAATGACTTTAGATGTTATTCACAAAGAGAAAGTTATTTTGTCTTTTTTTTTTTTTTTTAAATGTGTAGATTTATTTGGATAAAAAATAATACATGATAAAATTTTAATGTATTTAAATAATCTAAAAGTAAATTTTAGTACTTTAACAATTTTTTAATAAATAAAACTTATATATGAGTTTATATACACAAAAATTATATTTTAATTCCATATTTAACTTTGTAGTTAAAATCAACAACAAAGCATCTGATCCATTATTACTTCAAAACCCATTATCAAAGCATTTTGACTTTCTAATAGCAAAAAAAAGAAAAAGAAATAAAATGGAAAATAGCTCCTGTTAATGCAACTATTATATTTTGTATATACATAAAATAAATATATTATTTAAATAAATGCCTTTTATTTTATGTTTAATGTTTTTTTTTTTTAAATTGATGAACTTCAAATAATATTATCAATCAGATAGATATACAAACAATAATCATTTCATATTGCTCACATATCTTTCTAGCATATATATATATATATATACACAGAAACTACTTATTTATTAATTCGCTATGAAATAAATAAAAAATTAACAATTAATAAATATAAAATAGAAAATTATAAATCTGCCTTGGCTTCTTATTCATCCTGTTTCCACGTCTCTCTCTGGCCGAATTTGCAATTGAAAAGAAAAATAGAAAATACACAAATTCGAATCGAACTTCCAGATTTCGACGATTGAGCCAGGTCCGACCGGGATTGACTGACCAAGCCCGGATATCTCTTTATCCCAACTCCTGCCGGTTCTGTCCCCTAGTCCGACTCGGTTCGGACCATCAAGTACAGCCGATTGGTTCTCTACTTCCGGGTTCACCGATCGACCCGGTAGTGATCCCTTCCCTCGTAAAAAAAATTTTCGATACGCCTTCTCTGGTCTTCCCTGGAATCTTTCTGTTGCTCTCGCTCCTTTTCGACCATTTTCTTCTGCTAACTTATGTTGTTTGACGTGTCTGAATTTGAATTAGAGTCGTGCAACTTCCTAAGGTAAGCATTTTTTCTTTGGGAAAAGATCAAACTGTAACCGAGCTCTGTTTTCTCTTCGACTACAAATGTGTAGGAGACTTAATTTCTGGTTCTGTTGTGTGTTTTCAATCATTAAATTTTCAGTTCAACTTTACGAGATCAACATTCTTTTCAATTCTTTCGTTATGTAGGTAACATTGTTTGATGGTCCTTGGTTGAACACGATGGCCGATGTTTCTCTGGTACTATCTCCTTTGATTTACTTTTCTTTATTTTTCTTATTGTTTAGTTTAAGAGTTTTAGTGTTGTTAACTCTTTAACTGGAGAATTTGATTTGATCTAGATTTGAAGTTTTTTAACTTAATTTTTTATCTTCTAGTGCTTGGATCTGCGACATTTGCTATATCTTTGTCGGATCCACTTCATCAATTTCTTACACTGTGTTTGGATGAAAATTAGGAAAAGAAAAAAATGCGGATATATTTAAAGCAAGCAAAAGAAAAAAAATCCTTTATTCGCTTGGATAAGTAGAACTTGAGAGAGCAAGTAAAGGATGGTTGTAACCCTCTTTTGGTTTAGGTATGCCAACGTATGCCAAGGAAATGAAAGGATCTATTATGAATTACTTATGAATATTTTCATTATACCAATTCACTTTTCAATTTAAGAGAAAGTAAGAAATATTTCCAGACCTTTATCATCATCATCATCATTATTATTATTTTTATCCAAACAAGGGAAAGAACGGCTCCTTCTTCTGCATTTTCCTCGATCCAGACATATTTACAGATCTTAGATTATTCTTTACAGGTTTTCAGCAGCACTTATATTTCCTTGTTTCAGGACATCAAATGGATGGCACATAATTATTTCTTTGTTTCTAATCCCTAAATGTCATTCTGACAGAAAGAAAAGAAAAACCGTCTCTTTGGCTTATACTATATCTCATCTCTCAGTGATTTCATTGCTAGGTCCTCACTTGGCTTGTAGCCTCTGCATTCATCATCTTTAAGACATTATTGTTTCCTTTGAGAAATTTTGATGGGTTTTGGGTATATATGTTTTGATATTTCTTTCAATTTCTCATAATTATGTATTCCTAAAAAAAAAAAAAAAAAATCATCCTCGTAGTTATGTCTTTTCTTGTTCTTTCTCCTGTCCAATGCCCTTTATTTGCAGGGCCATTCTTTCGGTGAAACAAATGATGTGCAGAAAAGTATATTTGATTTAGGAGCATTTGTTGGGGACTTGACTTTTGAGGAAGATGCAAGCAGGTCTATTTCCATCTCAAATGGAAGCTGATAGAACATTTGTAGAATTTTCTACTTTCTGTATCATCTGTTATCAGTATCTGTTTACCTTAATTCAGCATGAGAACTTTTGATACTCTTTGTTGCACTATAGTTTTGGTTATTAATATAGTTATGGTACAATATGCTGAAATTGGCAACTGAAAAGATATCTCGGTTTATTTGTTTTATAGTGAGGATATATCATTGGAAGGACTTCAGCAAGAACTGGAAGAATGTAAAAATGATGAAGTGAGTTACTCATCTATACCTTATATAACATGTATAGCAAGTTCTTTTTTTTTTTTTAATTTTTGAGAAGTAAAAAGTGTATTAAAATGGCAGCAAGGTGGTGCAGCCCTACATAGAACTATTCATCAGAAATATCTTCTTAGCTCATTGATCTGCAAAAAGTGGCTTGTTATATGTCATATTCACTCCCCTTTTCTTTCTATATCTTATTTCTGTATTAAAAATTTATTTCATGCTTACTTTGTCATCTTAAATGGTGGATTGTTTAGAACTGCTGAGATTAAAGCTTCTGGAAGTTCTTTAACAGACTGGTTTGAAGTGTTTGTTAAACTTATGTATTAGCTTTAGATTGGAATTTAATATGCTAGCCTTAGAAGGTACAAATAAAACAGAGTTAGGTGAATGACTGAAGATTTCTTATAGGCAAAAATCCTTTGGTTCCAGCATAGTGAGGAAGAACACGGACACAAAGCTACGGCAGTCTATGGGTTTGTTATGGGCCAGGTGATGATGCTTATAGTATGGGTATCTTGAAAGGAAACTAAAAATGGTTGGGGTGGTTTCTCTTAACTTTTACAGTTAGCTAGAATTTTGACATCAGAAATGGAGGAAGGGAAATCTAAGGAGAAACTTGCTTTCATGCCTTTAGCAAGGAGCAAGGAATTTTTAGCTGTAAAAAAGTTGTTACTTATTAGTTCTTGGTTTGATTTCAGGGCATTTTGGCTTTACTAATAACATACAAAGAGTTTTCTTGCTTGTTTGAGACCATATAAGGGTTTCTTCAGTTGGCAAATGATTTGATGTTGAAGATGACTGTTGCTTCTTATTGTGAATCAGGTGGTAATATCATCTTGAATCTTAGACATATGAAACTCTAGTCAAGTCATTTACATGGAGCGGGAGTTGGGGGGGAAAGAAAACAATGTTGCCTTAGTTGACTCTTTGGAGGATAGAACTCTTAGGTGAACTGGAGCTTTCCAATTGTAGGAAAAAAGAAGCTTCCATATTGAGGGAACATTATATATCTATGACTTCCTTGAGGTTGCTTCTCAGTTTTCCATCTTTGATTTCTATTTATTGAAGGACTTAACATGTTTCCTTATTATCAAAGAGGACCATGTTTTAGTGAATTTGTGGTGCGTGTTGAAAAGGAGAAGAAAAGGAAATGAAGAGTTAATGCATATGTTTACTCACTTGAGAGATTTCACTTTTGCATCCCTTCATTTTTTTTGAAATAAAAGTGTTAATGTGTATTGATGTAAGAGTGCTAAGGGGGCACAACCCATTTACAATGTATATATAAGTCAATTAAACAATCGACAACAAAATTAAGATCATCAAAACAGTTGATGTTATGTCCCAATATAATAGAACCAAAATAGTGAAACTAACTATCAATGATTTTGTTAAAATCTACTTCTATTCCTTCAAAAGCGTAGTTGTTTCTTTCCTTCCAAAGGACCCCACATAATGGTGAGTGAGATTAGTCTTAGCAATTTCCTTTTGCTGCTGATGCCTTCTCATGCTAGAAGTTCTGCAAAAATGTTGTTGTTCATGACCCAAGACAGTCCCATAAGGCTAAGAATAGTGCTCCATAGGTGTTGTGAAACCGAACAGCCTAAGAGCAGGTGATTGCAGGTTTCAAAATTGTTTTTACAAAGAAAACATCTATTTGCAATCATGATACATTTTTTCATTAAGTTATCAAGGGTAAGATTGCAGTTTTTTGCGGCTGCCCAAGTAAAAAACGAGATTCTTGGAGTTGCACCCAATTTCCAGATTAATTTGGAGGGGAAGATAATGTTTTTCTGATTAAGATTGTCCGCCATGAGGTTATAAAGTGATCTGACAGTAAAAGTCCCATTTTTGGATAGTAGCTATTTTAGATTGCCCTCCCTATCATAGACTTGAGTAGAAGACAAAATTTATAATAAAGATATATATTCCTCTAACTCCCAATCTTGTAGATTTATGGAAACATACACCTGCTAAAGGCGCGGATTGTCATGAACCACAACATCCTTAACCAGAATATTTTTGTCTCTGGCAATAGCATAAATAAGAGGGAATCTTGTTTGGAAAGCAACCTTGTCGTGCCATATGTCTGACCAAAATCTGATTTTGTTGCCCTTCCCAATGATCCAAATAGAATTATATAGAATGGTGTTGTTTAGCTTCCAAATATTCTTCCAAAGGCTTGAGCCATATGTGCTGTTTTTAATTCTAGATTGATCGTGATAGTCACCATTGAACCATTTACACAAGATAATTGATTTACAAAGGCTGATACCTTAGTTCCAAAATCTCCAAATTCATTCCCCCCAAGAAGGGACTTGTTGAGTGTAGTTATAGATCTCAAACCCAAGCCACCATTTTAATAGGTTTCTTGATTTCTTTCCAAATTTTTCTATTGTTATTAACATCGTCTCCTAAGAGAAAGTTGCTCTGAATGGATTTCAATTAGCAACGCTAGTTAGAATGTCGAACACCAAAAGGAGATATATAGGAGATTAGATAAGATGCTTTTGATGGAAGTTAGTCTTCTCCCCTTTGATAAGAATTTTCTCTTCCAGTTGGTTAGTCGATTTTGAAACATATCTATGATCGGATCCTTCTGTCCTTATATTTGGTCCCAAGGGGAGTGCCTAGATACGTGATGGGTAATTGAAAAACTTTGCAACCCAGAACCTATGCCAGGGATTCACCAGATTGGGATCTCATCACCATCAATTCAGATTTGTGAAGATTGATTTTGAGATTAGAAACCGATTGAAAGCATAATAAAGTGCATTTCAAGAATATTAGGGAGCGAGTGTCAGGTTGGCAAAAAATAAGGGCGTCATCCGTAAAAAATAGATGGGTTAATTCTATTTGATTGATCCTGTGTCCCATAGAGATCCCTTGTAGTAGTTTAAGTTCTTTGGCCCTGTCCAGTAATTTGTTCAAAGTCTCCATAACAATGATGAAAAGGAGAGGAGATAGAAGTTCACCTTGTCTTAGACCTCTCGAGACGGTGAAGAAGTTTGAAGGGCCGCCCTTCACAATGACTGCAAAGCCAGTAGTGGTAATACAAGTTCTAATCCAATCTCTCCATTTTGTGCTGAAACTACATCTTTCCAACATGTAATCAATGAAATCCCAACTTACATGATCAAAAACTTTCTCAATATCAAGTTTGCACAAAGCACCCTGTTTTGTTGTTCCTGATGACTGCATTCCTTCATTTTTTATCAGGTGGCCTTTCTAGCATTCATATTGTATGCATGCTTGCCCTTGCTTTCCTTTAATGAAACTCTTTCCAGAAAAGGTCTTAATTCCACTTCTCTTTCTCTTTTCCATGCTTTTCTTCTTACTATTTACATGTTTTGACAAAGATTTTAATTATTGATAACCCTTGATATGGAATAGAATCAAGCATATAGAAGGAAAAATCGATTTTCTTGTTAAAGCTCTATAGAGGTCTCTAACCCTCAGAAGATACAGAATGTAACTAGCTTTCTCCAGCACTGTGATTTCTACTTGTCACCATAAGTTCGTTTCTAACTCATAGAAGATTGTCTTTTCATGTAATTTTAACTTTGACTATGTTATTTTTGCTATTTTCCTTCCTTTTCCAGGTTGTTGCAAACATACTATCTAATGGTACGAAACTAAGGGAATATACAAAAGGGGTTGAGAACAATCTACGACAAGTTGAACTTGATTCCATTCAGGTTTGTGGTTAATTTACATAACTTTCCTGTAAGTTTTTCTTTGTCCAGTTTATATTCCTTTGATTATGCGTGTCAAAGTTTTGAGGTTTTCTTATTTTGTGGGAAGTTTGGCATCTACCTCGTAGCATGCATAAGACCAATTGATCAAATTTTTGGGCAAAGATGCTGCAAAATGACCTCGATTTAGCTTCACAATTTTGTCTTCATTCAACAATGGACAACCATATCTCCTTAACTACTTTGGAAATACCCTCAACATAATTATAGCTCAAACTCTCCTTATGGTCTAAGGCCCTGAAAAATTTATTGATATATCCATTTCTATGCTAAAATTGGATCAAAATCTGCAATCTCATAGTACACTGGTTTTTGTGTGGTTTGGATGTAATTATGCTTCAGAGCTCTTCTAATAGAAGGCAGGGTGTCTTATCTTCCAGTATTGGTACTGTCTCTTTTCTTACTCTTAATAATATTTTTCTTCTACAAAAAAGCTATAGCCCAAACCAAAATTCTTGGGAAGTCCCTGTCTGTACCAAAGAGGGAAAAACAGAAAGATACAGCCATGTCTTTGTGACTGGATAATAAAGTAATAAAAATTCTACTAGTTCTTCCCCCTTCTTCACTTATTACACAAATAAATCGCAAATATCTTTCATTTTTCAGCAAATTATTTGCTTGTTAAATCAGCATATTTTGGTGGAGATCTCACCTTTCATTTGTTCCTCTATGAAAAAGGCCACCTAATGGACCATGTTCTACGTGCAGTTAGCTCCACCTTAAATATAATTACTTTATGGATGTGCAGTGAACTCACTGCACAAGTAATTAAAAATAATTAATCCAATCTTAGTTGTGCAGCATGCTCCTCACCATTATGACTCTTTTTTTTTTCCGAAAGAAACACTATATTGACTATTCTTCACTCTAATACTATGTATTGGCAATAGGACAAGGTTGTCTTGGAATCTTTGGGTCTCTACTGATGAGTATTTTTGGTACTTTTGTGCATGTTTTGAAACTAAAACCAGTTGTTATAGCCTTGAAATTTTGGACTCAAAGTTTTTTAGATGCTTACAATCTTCTCATGAAAATAGTTAATACATATGCGTCTTGAAAGAAACCGGATATTAGCTTGGAAATATCATATACTCTCAGTCAATTATATTATGGCAGAGATGCTTTTCATCATACTTTAGCTTTTCTTTTTGCTCTGTCAGATATGTTGTTTATGTATCAGCTGTTCTATGAATGCAGGACTACATAAAAGAAAGTGATAATTTAGTCTCTCTTCACGATCAGATCCGTGACTGTGACAGCATCTTGTCACAAATGGAAACTCTTCTGAGTGGATTTCAGGTATTTTAGCTCTTATGTCAGTTTAACAATTTGCAACTGCAATTTGAATATGATGACCTTTTGCATTGTTCTGGATGAGCAAATTGTTTGGTATGAAGCTATCATTCTGCAGATATAGAATGACTTATGATACACATGACCACAAAGCCAAATATATTGACACATTGGCAGCATGCAGTTATTTCCTAACCTGGGGTTGTGCCTTCTAATTATAGTTATCATCATTCTTCTAAAAAACTATTGTAATCATTCTCAACCTTCACCAGATTGACTGCCACTAGCCATACACCTGAAATTGTGAAAAGTAAATATTCTCCCATGAAAAGTATGTTTCGTGGTACTAACAATTAAAGATTTGTTATTTGTTATAACTCCTAAAAATTGCAATTGGGGTTTATATTATCTAGATTACAATTCAAGATGAAATCTCTTCCAGAATGTAACATACATATTTGGAATATACTAGATTGAAATAGAAGCGTCTATGCCTATAATATGTTTAAGAAAGGCTGTAAGCACTAGCATATCAAGATGATTGATGTTAGTTTTGCTTTTACATGCACTTTGTTTTTTTTTTTAAATTCTAGAACTTGAATTTGAAATTAATCCTTTTCTTTTTTGAGAGAGATGATGAGAACCCAAATTTATCACAAGGCACCAATGGTGTGCCACCCTCTTACGGAGCAGAATTTAGAAGAGATGAAGGCAAAATACCTATGCGAACACCTAAATCTTCCTCAGTCTTCAAGGAGTGAACCTTACGCAAAATGTGAAGGGGTCCAGAACCAGTAGCCCGTAGTCCTATGAAAAGGGAGCACCTATCCTCAAAAAGCTCTAATTTTTCTCTCCACGTGACCTAAAAAGTAGCAAGGGAATGAGAGTAGCTATAGTTTTCCTATTCCTCTGTGCACGCAATCCAATCCAAGCCCGTAACTTAGAGGCCACAACGTCTGATACCACCCATCTCATCCGAAGGAGCCTGTGGGCAGTGTTTCAAACTAATCTGGCCAAGGGATATGAAGGGAAAAGGGTTAGCTCCTTACCAGAGCACAATGGACAGCTATTTCCAACAATTCTAGCTTTTTACTCAGGTTGTCCAGAGTAAGGATTTTTTCTCAAGCTGACTTCCAAGTAAGAAGGCAATTCTGCGATGGGGAGGGGGAGGTTGGGGGGATTTCTTTTCCATATCTGCTTGCAGGGGGCATTTGTGGCTGGAGACTTGCATACGACTCACTTTAAAGTGGTCATATTTTCTCAAAATCCACCAAGGTTGATCCTCTCTATCAGGATTAGTCTAAAGCTTCCCTGAGTTCATGATCAATTAATGGACAGGAAGATGTTTCATATCCACTGAAAAATATGTAAAACTCATGAGCATTGACACATACCATACCTTTGGTATGTTAGTTTCCTGAAGAGAATTTTTGAGACCAGGATCTTGATTCTTTTGTCACTGCTTCTCAACAGATTGTAATAAGCTTAGTTACATTATGAACTTTTGAATTATTAATGATAACATGGGTTTGCTTCTTTTCTCTGTTTCCTGGCCAAATTGTATGCTGTTTGTGCTTTTCCCCCCCTTTTGCGGCAGATTTAGGGTGTTTGTTACTTTTGAGAAACTCCAATGTTATTATTATTATTTACATATGGACTTGATTATTGTTTGCAATTGAACTTCTGCCAGACTGAAATTGGTTCCATAAGTTCAGACATAAAAGTCCTCCAAGAGAAGTCTATGGATATGGGCCTGAGGCTGAAGAATCGCAAGGTAACAATATCATAAGAAAATCATTTTTTCTTTCTCTTTTTGTTGCCTTTGGGTTTTATAAATCCAAAAAATATGGCTTCTTGCTGTTACCTTTTTGTACTTTATGGCCATGAATATTGCTTCAGCTTCTGGAGCAAAACAAGAATTTCTAGTCTTTCAGCTGGTTATTATGCTACATTGGTTGTGTTTTTCCTGCAAGAGGGAGGACTTGTCTTTTCTTTGGTTTAGTTCTTCCTTATGGTGTAAGAATTAACTAGGGAGAACAGGGTGGGGGTTTGGTTGTCCAGTCTCAGAAGAGACTTGAATGAAGATTTTTGTCACTGCTATACTGCAGCAAAAAAAAAAGAAAAAAAAGAAAAGAAAAAGGAAAAAGAAATTACTTATAAATTTTATGCTTTTATTTTAATTTTCACTCTTCCTGTGGTTGTTTTATGTGCCATACTTATGTCTCCAACCCACGATCTTTAAATAGGTAGCAGAATCAAAGTTGGCAAGATTTGTTGAAGACATTATAGTACCTCCGAGGATGATTGACATCATAGTTGATGGAGAGGTACAGAAATTTCATTAACCTTCTTTTGTTAAACTTATTGCTGCTCAATTAACAAAGCTAGTAGACATAATTTTTCATGTGAGTGACATATGCATCCTCCATAAGTGCTCTTACATCTCTCTTATGCATTTCTTTGGTTTAAAAAACTAAAGAGTAAATTTATTGGTACTTGTATAAAAGGATTAGGATATCCAATTAATGGCTAATTTTAGAGTGGGGAGTGTCTATCATGTCAGATTTTGTAAGGTTACCGAGATTGTTAGCTGAGCTTGTGATTTCCTTGATTGTTCTATTTGCTTCATGCAGAGAGCCATTGTTGTTCAATATTTTTAATATCCTTCTTCTTCTCAAGAAAAAAGGAGGATAAAGTTGCTGACCATTTTCCTCTATTGCTGGCACAGTGGTGCAAATGTTCATTTAAGTTGAAACCATATTTTTTCCTTTAATAGAAAAAGGAGGGTTTTAATTCAAACCATTAACAATTGGGGATTGGAAGATATGATCTGCTGCCTTTGTTGGGAAAGCTTGATATTTCCCTTGGTAAGGATGTTGATTTTGAGAATATTCGGTCTTTTTAAAGATAAGTCCTACTACAACTCTTAGGCTTGTTGTAGATTCATCTGGGATAAATTCTGTTAGAAACAGATCTGGAAGATAGCTCATTCTCCCCAAAATCATCTTCTTTGCTTGGGATGTAGTTACAGTAAAACTCTTGTTATGGAAAATCAGAGAAAGAAGCAATATCGTTGTCAATGGCTGTCCGCAATGCTTTAGGGCTGACGAGTTGCTCAATTACCTTCTTTTTTTTCTTTGTGTTCTCCTTGGGCAAGACTTGTTTGCAATTCAGCCCTCTTGTTTCTGGGTGTTAGTTGGGTCGCTGGTGATATTGGGTCCCATATCCTGCAAACTTTGGGTTTGGGATGATCCAGTGGCTAGTATGAATAGGAGGATTTTTTTCTCTCATTGCCCTTGCTATCTTTTGGGTCATTGATTGAAAGGAATAACACATTCTTTGAGGATTAGGTTCTTCATTTCATAGGATTAGCGATTAGCGGTTTCAAACCCCTTTTAATTTCTAAGGTGATGTCTTGTATAGTGGAGGAGATTTAGGAAACATCTGGGATACTTTGTTTCTCTCCATTTGTAAATTCTGCTTTTATAGGTATAACCGCTGGGTATGGTCATGGATCTATGTGTCTAGCTCAATATTCAAAGATATACAGGTGCTTAGCTTTCATTCTATATAAAGAGTAATAGAAGTAATAAGAGCTTTAAGTAAACTAAGACAATGTTGTCTGCATTGCAAAATAAAATCTTTAGCACAAAAAGATAGCAGATTCATGTTTGGGGTGAAAATTGAAAAAAAGAGGATTATCCTAATGAGTTATATACAACTGATTAAGTCTTCATTATATAAAGAGCAAAATTTAGACATTCAAGAGCATGCATTTCCATTGGTGTGATCTTTTTTCAACTTCTGAGATAACAGTCTTCATCACGGTCTTCATTTTTTCTTTTGAAATAAAAAGTGTAAGAGTCTTCATCATGGTCTTCATTTTTTTCTTTTGAAATTAAAAGTGTAAGAGTCTTCATCATGGTCTTCATATAATCATATGTCATAATTTCTAGTTCTAGATCATCAATTGCTAGACATGCATATCAAGTCTCAGAACAGGTCCCACACTGACACCATGTCTGACACGGGTATGACACTAAAACTAAAGAGTCCGGGCAACATAGTCTATAAGTGTGTGGCACTGCCTTATGAATATAATTTTGCTCCTCTTTTCTTTTAAAAAAAAAGGAAAATAAAGTTATGAAATAATTTTTTTCTGAAATAAAAAGTGTGAAGTGTATTAATAAAGTTCTGAAATAATGGATTCTAAGGTTGTAGTCTAAGGATAAGAGGAAGGCTGGATATTTTCTTCTCAGCTTTTACAACTTATATCTGGAAAAGCTTTACTCTGTTATTAAATATGTTTCTAATCAAGGCTTTATCTGGCTCGCGTTGTTATTTTGCTGCCTTTTAATTCAGAAGTGGGATATGAATTATCTGTTATAGATTTTTTTAATCTCCCTTGCAACAAATGTACTGATGCTCAACACTTGGCCTTCTAGTACAAGTTACTCAGAGAGTATTCTTTTGGTCAGAGTCGGAATCAACTGTGAACCCATATATGCATTGCAGTCTGAATTTTTGCCTTGAACATGTGCTTCAACTTGAGCAATATATCATGTTTAAATTTTGTTTTTTTTTTGGCTCTATCACGTGTTTCTGGTTCACATTTATTTGTTTCCTAGCCATTTTAGTATCCTAAATCTCTTGGAAATTAGAAGCCGATGTATCTGACGAGAAAGATACAAGCTATCTTTTGGAGTTTTATGTGGTCTAGAGTGTAACCAAGTTCTAGCTTTGGCTTGCATTTTTTTGCTCTACTTTGCCGTGGTAGATCACAGATATGTGATGCTCTCACATATATTCTCAAGTATCCTAGTGAATTTTGCGATTTATATTCCATTTTCTTTCAGCACCCTAACATACATGGAATGAAATTTTTCTTCAGGTTAACGAAGAATATATGAGAACTTTGGAAATTCTTAGCAAGAAGCTGAAGTTTGTTGGAGTGGATCCTATGGTCAAAACTTCAAAAGCTCTAAAGGATGTTCAGCCTGAGCTTGAAAAGCTTCGCCAGAAAGCAATTTCGAAGGTTGTTTATTAGATGCCTTGCAGGATGTTGATCAGATAATTTCTGTAATTTTACACTTTCCCACTATCATAATATGTCTGGTTTTATTTAAAAAATAAATAAATAAATAATATGTGTTAGTTTATCAGGACTGCAAATACTATATACTAACTCATACTATGTATTTTAAATGACTAAATCCATGCATTTTTTTATGTAATGGTTAGTTGGTAATCAGTAAAATTACTGACTAACAAATGTGTTACTATAAGTCTCTAGCTCTGATTCAAGCCTTGTATGCTTTTGGCTCGCGGTTAGCCTTCTAGCATCAGATGAAAGTTGTGTCCATGAAAACAGACAGAAGGTTTCAAAATTTAAATAAAAGTTACATCTTTATGCTAACTTAGAGTTATTTTCATACATGTTGGGCATTTTCTTCCTCTTTTTCTTTATTTTATTCGGTTAATTAGTATTTAACCTTATTATAGGAATTCTATGTGATACTAGTGGTTTACCATAATCTAGTTTCATTAACAAAAAAGCACTGGGGAAATAGAGAGATGAGTGTATTTGATAACAGTGTATCTTTTATATTCCCCTTATATGTCGTTAGGTTATTCCAACTGGCCTTCTTGGAGGAAAAGGTTGTTCCACCCTGGCATTTTCAATGAATTTTCATCTTCTACCCTTATATGGTTTTGAACCATAGAAACTGAAGTAAATTACTACCACTGTGTTAGCTTTGGGTTGAACAGGAATAACTGGAAGATAGCCTTGCCAAATTTACGTATAAGTAACAGCCTGAAGATCAAAGTACAATTTTTCTTATTTAAGAGTTGGAAATATGGCCAGTTTCCAACATGGCAGTCTGCAACAGTTATAGAACTTTTTTTTGGAAAGAGCAATAGTGTATAGAATTTTTTTTCTCCAAGAGCAACAGTGTATAGATTTCCATTAACGGATTATTTGATGTATTTATTGGTAACTGATGTTACTTACGTTTAACTGCCTTAGCTACATGATATATGATCAGTTATGATGTTATCTTTCTTTTCTGCAGGTTTTTGATTTCATTGTTCAGAAGCTATATGCTCTGAGGAAACCCAAAACAAATATACAGATTCTACAGCAGAGTGTTCTGTTAAAATACAAGTAAGTTATGCTTTCTTAACTTTCTTAATTTTATGTATTTAACGTGACTTTTTGAGGTCTGAGTTGCTTTCGTTGAATTTCTTCTTTCTTGGGTGAATGTTTTTACTCATGGTTATTTTGATTAGGTCAATCACTATCAGATTTGATAAGATTAATACATTCATTATCTAATACTATTACTCTCTTCTTTTAATATCCATGGACCTTTCCTTGGGTAATCATTTCACACAAGTTTTGGAGTTTTTTAATAGAATTGAAAAGTCAAGTAGAAGAAGTATTTTCTTTTTTGGGTTTTGTGTATATGTGCGGGTGCATGTGCATGTTCGAGGTGCTTCAACAACTCCTGTTATTTGTGTGTGGCTGGTTGGTGCTTCATCAACTCCTGTTATTAGATGAACAGGTTAATTTTATAGATCTATCTCAAACAGATGAGGTGATGCCAAGTTGTATATTTGCTTTAGGGTACCTTCAAAAAATGTATATTTGCTTTAGGGTTTGACAGCTTAGCAATTTGCTTTTGTGGTTTGTTCTATGTTATTTGCAAGGAATCTCAATTAGTTAAAATAAGGGAGCATATTTTCAAAATATATGATTGGTTGGCTGCATTTGTCATGAAACCTGAAAATATATCTGATTTGTGTAGGATTCTCCAGTGGATCAGATGGACACTTTTTCCAATTGAATGTTATCTCTCAAGTCAATGTTTAGCATACACATGACATCTATTATGCAGAATCTCTGTCAAATATCTTTTTATCATACTTCAGGGTTCCTTGTAGAAGTTCATAAATAGTTTTCCTGTAGGGGAGTTCAACATTGGTTTCTGCAGTTGTCCCACTTCTGGTACCTTCTATGCTTGTCCTGACCTTTGAGAAAAGAGAACATTGACAGAATGGAGCATTTAATAATGGTTTTTGGATCCCGCATTATGAGGAGATATTCCTCTTTGTTTTGTATTTTATGGACTAGGATTTTGGCCTTATTTGGGCAGTTTCCTCCAGCCACTGTTTCCTGTTGTTTTGTTTCTTTTAGCTGATTTAATCATCATACCAAGAAAATCTGCATAATTTTGAATAATTGCTTATTCTTCCGATGATTGCATTGGTTGTGCATAGAATGCCTTGATAACCATATTGTGGCTATACAGAAGGTCATATATTGGCAATTTGTTCCAGATATTAATTTCTACTTCTAGTTACAGTCTCTCTTAATAATTGATTGATTGTAATATGAAAATATAGGTATGTTGTGTCCTTTCTCAAGGAGCATGGCAAGGAGGTATATATTGAGGTTCGTGCGGCATACATTGACACGATGAACAAGGTAATTGTTTTGGAGTCAGTTTTTTTTATCTTGAATTTCATGACATAAGATTGAATTCTAGGAAGAATCATGCAGATAATAATTTTTTTTATCAATATTACTACTTCCGAATCAATAAACTACTATGAACAAGATAACAAACGAATTCTTCCTTCCGTGAAATTATAATTGGTTAGGTGGTGCAAATAAAAGAATTCCATTTTCCTCTTGTACTCGTGTATATATGATTCAAAAATAGAAATGTGATAGATAGAGTCTTAATCTTTTTACAATCTCAATAATTGAAGAGTTTCAAGAATTCTGGCCTGTGTTAAAAGATGACTTGGTGGATATGTTTGAAGAGTTTCATAGAAATGACTCTTGTGTTAAATCTTTGGATGCGACTTTCCTTGTGTTGATTGCTAAAAGAGCTGGAGCCAAGAATAGTAGTGAGTTCAGACCCATTAGTCTGGTGGGTTGTATCTATTAGTTGATGATTAAAATCTTGGCAAAAAAGATGTCAAGAGTTCTAAGGAGTGTGATTGGAGAAAGCCAACATGTGTTCGTGGAAGGTAGACAGATCATGGATGTTGTCTTGGCGGTGAATGAAGTGGTGGATGATTTAGTTGGCAATAAAAAAGATGGCATTTTCTGTAAACTCATAGAAAAGGCATACGATTGTGTGAGTTTGGAGTTGTTGATTATATGCTTAGTAGGTTGGGTTTTGACGGAAAATGGAGAAGGTGGATCAAGACGTGCATTACAACGACATCTTTTGCTGTTATAATAAATGGGGGACCCTCTGATTTCTTCAAGACGTCCCGGGGGCTTAGACAAGGCAACTCCCTCTCACCACTTCTCTCTATCATCTTGATGAAAGCTCTCAACAGAATATGGTTGAAAGAGCAAATGAGTGTGAGCTATTTAGAGGTACGCGGATGGGTAAAAATACGCAGCAGGTGGAAGTGTCCCATTTATTTTTTACAGGTGACTCGAGGATTTTGTGTCAACCGGATGTGGAGATGGTGCAGAATTTGAGGGTTGTGCTTGTGACATCCTGCTTCCCAGAGTGCAGCAATGTCCAATACAGAGCAGACACGTGTGTAATTAATTTAAAATTTTACTGGGGAAGTTACATATGTTCCTTACAAAATACAAAGTGTATTTCTAAAGCATCGAAATTAGCTATTAAATAATTATAAATATTATTTAAGCTAACTTCTGCAAAATACAAAATAGTCGTCTAATAGAGTATATTGCTCTCATTGCATTCATCTTCTAAGGATCAATGGATGGATCTAAGCAAGCATCAAGGGTCAGATCAAGGGGTAGATTATCTTCTTCTACATCATCTGGGGGAGATGAATTTAGGGTTAGTTCCATGAAACTTAGTAAGGAAAGCAATATTAATTAAACACTAGTAACGTTTTAAAGGTCATTAATATAGTAAGTGAAACACGTGTTTATCATCCTAAAACATATGTTTGCGTAATAGAGATTGCTGAAAATGTCATAATACTATTACAATTTGTTTTAGAAACTGCTGAAAATTTTATAGTAAAAATTTTAACTTGAATTCATTTAAAATAACATTTTCAAATCTATTTCTAACCATAGAATCTAGTGGAATAACAATCAAGCTATTAAAGAAATCACAACTTATCAATAACATGACTAATTAGGCATTCTTTCACATTCTTATCAATTCTAATTATTTTGACTCGATTAGGTTTCCATTATTTACAGACTTTCGCGTGAAACTGTTTAGACCTATATTAGTAGAGGATAGAGGGGATTCACGATGCTGTTGTAAGTGGGGAAATAGTTCGATTTGCAGTGCAGTTAATTAATAAGATTCTATGATCACGACAATACTTCACTACTGTGATCTCTAACTGTCAATCGCGATCCACTCTTGTTAGATGGAAGACCAATATGGTATCCATTCACAGGGAGTGGCTCACCAATGGTCAGTGAGCAAACAGATAACGGTAACCTCTCCATGATAACGGTTAAACGGATTTAAAACTTTCTTTGTTGATTTAGTTTTATGTTACAACAACAGTTTGTTCCTAAAGTTATTCTCGAAATCTGTCATTCATTTACAGATAAACATATAAATTTTATTGTCCGACCCATTAGGCTCACCAAAGCACTTTTCAAACACCATTCGGCTTAGGCCCATTAACCAACTCTTGTCCCATTAGGGCCCATAAAATCTACCTCAGCCCATCAAGACCCACTAAGCAAACCCGAGCCTAATCAAGACCCAATACCCAATTATGGGCTCCGTAAAGCCCACTAGCGAACCTCAACCCAATCAAGGCCCATTAACACATTTTGGGCTCCTTGAAGCCTGTTAAACAAACTCGGACCAAAATGGTCCATCAACCAGTCCAAAGGCCCACGAAGGGAAACCCTTCCCGCATTCGCTAATTGGGCAAGGCAGAGGCCAGCTGCACGGCCCTCTCGGCACACGAGTGTGCCTGGCAAGGCCGCAAGCTGTGCATTGCAGCGTGCCCAGTGTATACTGTCCCAGCACTTGGATGTGTCAGGACAGGCCCTCATGCGCTGGTGTGCATCTCCACTTCAGTCAGCACAGCATGCTATCAGGCATACCTGTGGCACAACGTGCCAGCACATGCTCGCGCGACACAGCATGCCAGCGTGTGCTTGCGCGACACAACACGTTCACGTGCTCGCAGGGCACGTTATGCCAGCGTGGCACAACATGTTCACACGCTTGCGTGGAACGGTACACCAGCATGCTCACATTCCCCTGTGCGGCACAGGGTGCCATCGTGCGCACTTCCTGTGCGTGGTGCCTGGCAAAGTGGCACGTGTGCGCGTGCGCCATGCGTGTCAAAGACTGTCTCAGCACTTCGGGCATACCAGATCAGTCTCACGCACGCATACGTGTGTCCATTACAGCCTCTCGGCGCACGTGCACCAGGCCTAGCCAGGCGCAGCTTGCTGTGTGCACACAGCGTGCCAGGGGACCCTGTTCTGGCAGTTGGGGGTGCCTGGATAGTGTCCCGCGCACACTGTCAATACGGCACAGATGTGTATGGCAGTCATTCCATTGATCTTTCCTGCTTCCATTCGGTTAATGTATTTCCCAAAATGAATTCAACCGCACATCATCGTTCAGTAGACAATATACAATTTAAACGAACATTTGAAAACATGCAAACAAATCAAAATCATTACGTGTAAGCACGTGCATTACCGAGGCTAAAGAACGAACATGCATGCAAATTTCACAAGGTCTTATGGATTTAAAATTTAGAAAAACCTGTTAAAAGTATCAAATTAAATACCCCAGTCCTTACCTAAGCTGTAAGTGATGATTTGTGTCCTTAAACAGAAGAAAAGAGCTCCCTAAAACGGAAGAAGAAACTGTTGCAGCAGCGGAGGTCTGCTTCCAGAAAACAGAGGCTGTTTTCTTTGCAGCTTCGAAGAGGAATTGTCGCAGTGAGAGGGGAGTGACCAATTAAGGAAGGAAAACAAGGAAGTGAAAGAACGAGCCTTACCTCTCGGGGAAGGAAGAATTGGTGCGTGGCAGAAGGCTTGCACTGTGTGCAGCAGCAGAAGAAAATGCGGTAGCAAAAAATCCTCACCGAAACTCTCTCTTTCCCTCTGGTTTTTCTTTCTTTGAAGAATTGAAGAGAAATGAGGAAGAAAGAGATTTAAATAGGTGAAACAGAGGCGAGGAGGTCTGTTGGATCACATGAAGAAGGGGTTGGCTGTCAATCGGGTGAGTGGCCGACCGAGACAGGCCTGGTTCCGGTTGAGACGTGCCACGTGTTCCAAGGGTGCAGCAGGGAGGTGACGGCCTGCAGTGGTGGTCAATTGGCCAATGAGGCTCGAACAGAGCCTGTTTTTTGCATGCATGCATGCGGACACGACATGCCACGCTGGTGGTAAAGTGCCCCCGTGTATGCCCACGGTACAGGTCTTTCGCGGGCAATGCCTGGATGCGGGGAAGAACTGTTCTGTGGGTCGAGTCCGCGTGTCTGCGAGGCTGGGGCCTGCAGACGGGGGATCTTTCTTCACGTACAAGCCACGAGGCATGCTGGGGGATTTTATCCTGCAGTCGGGGATCTTGAAATCCTGCGAACCGTTTTAGGGGATTTTGGGGGATTTTCTCTTATGCATTCAAATGTAATATTAAATGTAAAATAAGAAATATAAAAATGAAGAATAGAAGATTTCCAAAACGAAACAAATTCAAAGTACTTTGAGCGTTAGGTTACAAAACGAGGGATGTCACAGGTATGATTGGGGAGGAGTTGTGGGCTTGGGCGGGGTTGAGGAGAATAGATAAAAAGTTAAATATGCTTATCTCCTTGACTGTTTTTTAGATCATTTAGAAGGAAAGGGATAGGAGGGTCTCTGAAGGAAAAGAAAATGATATTTTAAAGATTCGGGATAGATAGTTTTGTTTATTTGGATCACTAAGCTTAGAGCACGACTTGTATAGGGTAGATGGTTTTGGATACATAATTGATTGCCTAACAAATATGTAATACTTTTGTATGGGTTGCACCCCCTTTGGTGCACTGTAAATATCTTACACGCTTTTTATTTCAAAATAAATAAATAAATAAATAATTGAATTTATCAGCATTGCAATTTGATGCTGGTTTCTATAATTTCTACATGTTTTAAAGTGGTTGATCTGCGATAAGCTATAATATCTTTCTCTGGCTTCTTTGCATATTTGACTGTTGCTGATTGTAATATCCTTTTAATGCGAGTTACTAATGCTGTTCTTATTTAGATGTGTTAGATAATGAAATGTTTATCGCATATAGTCAGGTTCCTGTATAATAAGGTTCCTATTCCTGTCATATGTATTTCTATAAATATTTATCTCAAAAAAATATGTCTTTCTATAAATATGTAGTATTTTACATTCAAAAAAATAAATAAATACAATGTAGTATTTCTCTCAATACAATAACAAGAATAATACAGCAGTAAATTTCAGTCTGTGCTTCTATTTGATGTTGGAGCAATAAGTCCCGAGGCTTCGCAATCTCTACTCATTTATATTCACTACTTATGATGAACAAATAAAAATTGCCAAGGCTTGAATTTAGTAGCTATTTCTTCCTTTCAGTTTTAATTTCTGTTCCTACTGTTCATTGACTTCCCATACTCATCTTGTTTCATTCTTTTTTATTTTAAGATTTTAAGCGTTTATAACTTCACACTGTTCATTGATTTTATTATTCTTTTACTTTGTATATATAGTTTTCCATACCCTTCCTGTATCTAAATAATTCGTCTGCCAGATTTAAGAAAAATCTAATATCACAGAAAAATCCTCATATTTGTGGGAGGGTCACTGTATGTTTGTTAAGGGTGTGAGGGGCTCCATACTGCAAAGGGATTATTGGTCCCAGTAAAGTTTTTTAGGTAAGCTTCATGAAGTAGGCACATTGGGACACCATTTACTCATTATGTTCTTACTCTCACTGGCTTTTACTTTAATCTGTAATTATTGCATTGATATGTTCCCCACAGATTGTTTAATCTCATGCAATGATTGAAAAAATGAGTTTACATCAAGCTCCAAAATGAGTCATTTTAAGCAAAAAATCAAGCTGTGTGGGTATCCTTTGTCCTGTGAACAATAGGGTGTATTGTGGATCATTTGAAGAGCTAAGACTCCACACAAGTATGTGATTTACAGCAGCAATCGTGATGTATAACAGATTACAGGAAAATCTTTTGTGGGTTGGTAATATTTGCAATTGAAGTAGTAATGTGCTGTAGAGAATGATGGGCCTGTGAGAACTACATGAAATTATATGAGTGCCCCCTTGAAGGTCAATTCTTTTAGATGATTGTTCTTACCAACTTAACTAATCCTGTTCAGGTGGTTTTTTTTTGCTTTTGAAATTAAAAAAACAAAAACAAAAAAACCACCTGAACAGAATTAGTTAATAAACCACCTGTTCTGATGGTTTTTTTGTATGTCTAACTAGCACTATTTGACTGCTAATTTTTATTGTGTTCCTGTGATCAAAATTGGCTTTTGCAAGTTTTGAGAGATTTCTGCATGTTTTGCAGGTTTTAAGTGCACATTTCCGTTCTTATATTCAAGCGTTGGAGAAATTACAGTTAGATATAGCAACATCCTCTGATTTGATTGGTGTAGAGACTAGAAGCACCAGCCTTTTCTCTAGAGGAAGAGAACCTCTGAAGAACCGTTCTGCTGTTTATGCTTTGGGCGAGAGAATAAATATTCTGAAGGTTTTCTATCTCTAGCTTTAGGATATTGTTTCCATGCTAATAAAATGGATGCTGTGCATTTAACTTTTCGCTGCAAACACTTAATAAATTAAAATTTTTAACTTTAGTTTTTCAGGAGTCCACAAACATTATTTATCTCTGATTATCCTCATGTGCCATCATTCAAAATATATGTGCATCTATGCATGCATACTGGGGCTGCTTTCTTTATGTCTTATGGATATTGGCATCTTTTCTTGGGCATATAATATTATTTTCATTAGTAAAAAGTTTTTTTCTGTCATACTGCACCCTCATTCTTGTTTGTGTCGTCAGTTCGTCAATTGCTGTGACCACCTACTGATTTTTTGTGTATCCACCCCCACATGGATCTGGCCCATCCATGCTTTTCATTTTTGTTTCTTTTTTATTTTTTTGTCATGGCAGAATTATCAAGTGCAGGTGATATGCCATAAATTGGCCTCTAATAAAAAAGATATTTAAATAAATAAATATCTTTTTGGAAGTGTGTGAATCTGCTTTTATATCAGTATGTTTATGTTCTATGTGGTGGTGAAGTGGATAACTTGTGCAAAAACTGATGAAATCATAAAATTCTATTACAATTGTGTTTGGAGCAGACATCATTCTGTTTGGCACGAGAATGTTACTCATCAGCTGTTTATGTTCATCTTCGTAAAACTTCAAACGGTTGTTTTTGGTCTCAGGAAATTGACCAACCTGCATTGATTCCCCATATAGCAGAAGCAAGCTCCACCAAGTATCCATATGAGGTGCTCTTTAGGAGTTTGCAGAAGCTGCTTATGGATACTGCTACTTCTGAGTACCGTAGAATTCTCTCAACTCTTTGATATTGAATTTAAATGCTAGTAGCTGTTAGGTCCATAACAATAACAGGTACATTTTTAATCATTCTGCAGGTATCTTTTCTGTGATGATTTCTTTGGTGAAGAATCCATATTTAATGAGATTTTTTCAGGTATTATGAACTCTTGCTGTGCTTTCATTTCAAATTGATGTATGAGTATAAAATTGTTATTAATATTCCTGATTAATTGTTTGTTTCTTAGAATGAAAACCACTTATTACATCTGTTAACCTCAAACCTTATGTTCCAATATTATACGGAATGAGCCCTGGGTGCTGTCAGTTGTTGTAGGATGTTTTAAGAGATTAATTGAATTATTTGCTTTATCTTGTGAGGGCAGAAGTCTAAGCATCTACTGATATAATCATTCTACTAATTTAGATATAATCAAATATTTTGAAAAATTTATTGGGTTTTCATGTTTACTTTTCTATCGTCAGGTCCATTTTCTGTCATTGATGAGCACTTCAATTCAATACTTCCAAATTGTTATGATGCAATTGGCCTTATGCTTATGATTCGAATTATACACCAACATCAGGTACTGTTTCTGATCTATAACTGCAGCATACTTGAGTTCTCTAAAATTTACAACTATGCATCTAGAGAAATTTAGTCTTATAATTATTTCAAACATTACATTTTGGACCTCTGTTTTTTAATTCTGTACACTTGTCATTGAGAACACATGCAGTTAGAATTGTAATTTTACTACTTTAATTTGTTATGATTTCGCTTCATGATGATTTGGTTTGTCACCTGAAAGATATCAAGTCCATGTGCTGAAGAGTATCCTGAGAATTGGAATTTTTTTTTTTGAAATAAGAAGTGTAAATATATTAATAAAGCACTAAGAGGGTGCAGCCCATGTACAAAAATATTACATATTTGTTAGGCAATCTATTATATACCCAAAATCAATAAGAGTTTCAAATCATGTCCCAAAATTAAAGATCCAAAAAATTGAAACAATCTATCTCTAATTTTAGTGATATTATTCCCTTTTCCTTCAAAAATCCTATCATTCATTTCCTTCCAAACAACCCAAAAAACAATAAGAGGACTTAAGTTAATTGACTTCTTCTTCCCTTTACCCGGGCCTGCCCAAGCTCCCAATTCCTCTTTGACAGAGCCCGCCACCACCTACTGGGAATTGGAAAATATCCATATAAAAAATGGCAGAAAAATTAAATGTCTATTCACAAGGTAACCGTGGGATAATACAACCTGTATACAAAACTGTCATGCATATTAAAGTAGTTCTTTCCTATTAGCGTAAGTTTTGGGATGATTGATATTATTCTCTTTTCCTTCAAAAATCCTATCATTCCTTTCCTTCCAAACAACCCAAAAAACAATAAGAGGACTTAAGTTAATTGACTTCTTCTTCCCTTTACCCGGGCCTGCCCAAGCTCCCAATTCCTCTTTGACCGAGCCCGCCACCACCTACTGGGAATTAGAAAATATCTATATAAAAAATGGCAGAAAAATTAAATGTCTATTCACAAGGTAACCGTGGGATAATGCAACCTGTATACAAAACTGTCAAGCATATTAAAGTAGTTCTTTCCTATTAAGTTTTGGGATGATTGATTTACTCTTTAACATATTATTAGAACTAGAGGTCTACTATCAAAATCCTGTCACCTCCACTTATATTACTTAATATCAGCACAAAGTGAGGTGGGGAAATGCATTAATACAAATAATAGATTGAGTCATATCCTATCAACTGGCGGTCTGTACTAGACAAGATTGACTAGGTTTGGCAACTCTGCTTCATATTTGAGGATATGATCATTTAACTTTTGGGATTCTAAATTCAGTCATCACTTCACTGTTGTTCTCTGAGGAGGGAATTTACTTATTGGATCAATGTTACCGTTCAAATTATTCTTTATTCTTTTTCTCTTAGCTTCTGATGTGGACCATCTAGCGTATATAGAAGAGAAATGCTAGATTTATATATGGTTTACAGAAACTCTTATGCAAACTGATGGGGCAACTTAGATGGGCACTTCAGTTCAATTAAATTAACT